AGAAAGAGAGAGAGAGACGGGAGAAGGAGAGAAAGGGTCAGAGAGAGAGAGGAGAGAGAGAGAGAGAGGAGAGAGAGAGAGGGGGAGAGAGAGAGAGAGAGAGAAGACGTGAGTGAGACAGCGGGACCCCGCCGCAGCACGCGGGCCTTCATACTAGAGGAGAATCAATAGATGTGCGTTGCATCTTGCCTCTCCTCCTCGCCTGCCCTCCCCCCTTCCTCGCCCCCCGTCGAACCCCTCCCTTGCTTTTGGGCTGCCACCGTGCGCACCCTTCTGCTACTGACTCCGACCTTCGCACGCGGCCGCGTCGCTCCGCCGCGTACTTGGCCAGAATCGTGCCGCGCGAATCGTTCACCCTGGAAGATCTTCCACCTTTCACGGGGTTGCTACGCGATATCTACGTTCGTTCGCCGATCAGCAGCAGCGCGATTGTGCGCCAATCTCTCTTCTGTCGATGTCATAAAAAAGTGGCTCATGAGCCAATGGAGAGAAGTCTCTACGGCTCGGTCTGAGCGATCGAGGAGGTAGCTGAGAAATGCCGGGGTGATGCACTTTCGGAGCTGCTCGCGCACCGTTCGCTGCAAACCGCGGGGGTGAAGTTGTCGTCGGAGCGCGAACGACCTTGAAATTCTGCCCGTCGAGGCCGAGACGCTTTTCTTGCGGCTCGTTAGAGGAATATGCGGGAGCACGAGCGGGGGCTGTCTTTCTCATTTCGCGTCAATGAATCGATACGTGCGTCGGTCGCGCGTAAGGTCGAGGCTTCATTTTCTACTTGCTCGAATAATTTATCGCTTTCATGTATTCACGCACCTTCTTCCTTCCTCTTTCCGCTCGTCGTCGCCGCTCGCTCGCGACCCGATCGTTTTTCCCTCCTCTACGGCCTCGTCCAACTCGTTCGTCGTTTTGTCTACCGGGCGCGTTGTGTTCTCTCTCTCCCTCTCTCTCGCTCTCTCTATTTTTCTACGCCATGTTGCCACCCTTGCTTCGGCGGCTCGCGCGATCCTATCGTCTCGGAACTTGGCGCATAAATCAAGATACGGTGTGATAAAGGCCAATTGCCGCGTAGTCCTAGAAAATGGAGTAATTTGGTATGTACGCCGCTCGTACTTTCGACGTCGAACTTCCCGTGCCACATCGATTGCCAGCGAAGATACCTGTGCGAACGTCAGCCGTCCTCTTCGACCAGCCACTGAATTATTTAAATCGAGGATTATCGCCGTCGGGGGACGCGCATTCTTCCCCTCGGCGCGCGTCGCACTTTCGCCCCGATGTATAAATATAATTGGGAGGCGTCATGATTAGGAAGAACGGCTGTCGCGCGAACGACATTCCACGAGTCCATCGAAGGAACAAGTTACGAGCAACCCCCAGCGGCCCCACGCTCGCACGCGCGCGTGCATTTACGACTTTCGTTGATTTTACGTTAAAATATTGGTCACGATAGTTGTACATTTTTCATACCGAGATGAACTCGCGGAGCGTCGCGGCGGCTGAATAATTCATCGGGGTAAAGCGGACTGTTCTTGAAAATTCTCTCGGTCGCCGGCGCGCGCCTTACGGGATCATACTACTCCTCAAACTCTGACGACTGAGATCGAACCCCTCGGCGAGGGAAAGGGTGTCCATCGCACGGTATCTACTCTCTTCCTCTCTTCGATATTACGCAACGACGAGCGACACCCCTCGAAGAAATAATAACGCCGCGAATAACGGCCGCGCTCTCTCTCCCTCTTTGCCTGCGGCACGGGATGTGCATCCCGTCGGCGAGGAGAGAAGAGAGAGCCTCGACTTAAGAGCGCGACGTTCTCGAGCATCGCGTCGCGCACGTCAGCGACAGCGGTGGGTGGATGGGCCGAAAAGTAGCGACGGGTTTGGAGGTCGATAGGACGGGCGAAATCGAAGGCGAGAGGAACCGTGAAGGGAAAGCGGCGAAAGTGAGAGCGAGTAATCGTAAGAAACACCGCAGCGGCGCAGCGTGGGTGGCTGAAGGAAAAGGAGGTGAAAACGATGGCGCTCGGGGCGAGAAGGGAGGAAAAGGAGAGAGGATCGGTGGAAGAAAGGGAAAGGGAGGTGAACGCGGCGGAGGAAGGGAGAGTGAGAGTGAGAGTGAAGGGCAGGAGGGCGGCGAGGTGGGGGCGCGCGAGCGGAAGGCTGAGAAGCGGGCGAGGGTGGAGGAGCGAGCGAGAGAGGGAGAGAGAGAGAGAGACAGAGACAGAGAGAGAGAGAGAGAGAGACGCAGGTGAAAGTGAAGCGAAGTGTGGTCGATTAGAGCGGCATTCGAGGGAGGTGAAAGGAGGTTAATGATTAGTTCTTCCGAGGTCGGGCTGTTGCCGGGTGCAGGTTGTGGCTCCCTTCTCGATCGCCCTCCTCCTCCTGCTCCTCCACCTCCTGCTCCTCTCCTTCACCTCCTCTTCCTTCTCCTGCTTTACCTCTTATGTCGTCGACCTCCTCCTTCTCACCTACCTCTCTAGCTTCCTGCCGCCATTCCGTGTTCCCTCTGTGCTGTACTCCTCTCCTCTCTCTCTCTCTCTCTCTCATCTCTCTCTCTTCTCTCCTCTCTCTCTCTCTCTCTCTCTCTTCTCTCTCTCTCTCTCTCCTCTCTTCTCTCTTCTCTCTCTCCTCTCTCTCTCTCTCTCTCTCTCTCTCTCTCTCTCTCTCTCTCTCTCTCTCTCTCTCTCTCTCTTCTCTCTCTCTCTCTCTCTCTCTCTTCTCTCTCCTCTCTCTCTTCTCTCTCTCTCTCTCTTCTCTCTCTCTCTCTCTCTCTCTCTCCTCTTCTCTCTCTCTCTCTCTCTCTCTCTCTTTCTCTCTCTCTCCACCTCCTTTCTCCATCTCGCACTCTTTGTTCCTCTTTCGATCCCTTTATCGCACCCTTCAACCCCCTTCGTGCTCTCGGCTATTCTGCTAAGCTCCAAAATTTCAGACCCCACCACCACCGTCGCGCTCAAGCTACGCACGCACGGCGGGGTTTGAGGGCTTGCAAGGTTGTTCTCCCTTCCACCCCGGGGGTTGCCGCCAGGAACGTGTCGACTATTTATGGGGCCATCGTAACAACTGCGGAGTATATCCGCGCGCGCTTCACGAGATTTTCCATTTCGGCGGGAACGACCGTGTCGGCGATCGGAATTTCCGCGCGGCCGTGAGTTACGCTCTCGGGAGAAAATGTTCCTCTGGCGCGTCGTCAGCTGCACCGACGACGATGCTTTGCGTTTCTTTTCGACGCTCAGCTCACCGACGCAAGTGATATATACCTTACCTCGTACATCGCTTTTCCATATATCGGAGAAACAATTCGGGTCTAGCATCTTATTGCGATCATGAATTGCACCTCTACTTCCGTCTCGGTCGTTTCTGCAGTTTTCAGCACGCGCGCACGCTCGAGAGAGAGAGAGAGAGAGAGAGAGAGAGAGAGAGAGAGAGAGAGAGGGAGAGGGAGAGGGAGAGGGA